AAAAATAAGATCTTTTATTTTTTTTTTTTTTAAACATTGATTACTGGACATAGGTTTGTGCTTTTTTTAAAAAGATTTTTATTTATTTATTTGACAGAGAGAGACACAGTGAGAGAGGGAACACAAGCAGGGGGAGTGGGAGAGGGAGAAGCAGGAGAGGGAGAAGCAGGCTTCCCGCAGAGCAGGGAGCCCGACGCAGGGCTCGATCCCAGGACCCTGGGATCATGACCTGAGCCGAAGGCAGACGCTCAACGACTGAGCCACCCAGGCGCCCCAAAATCTTTTAAAAATAAATAAGTAAATATAAAAAACCACAAGGAAATGATAGCTGTGAAAGTTAGGATAATGGTACATACTGAGAGAATTCTAATAGTTATAAAGCACATAGAAGGGACTTCTGTGATAATTGGCCAAGTTCCATCTTTTATCTGACTAGTCAACCTTACACTAATTTCTTAAGGTATATATTTGTGTGGCTTTCTGTATCTGTAAAGCTGAAAAGTATAATAACTGAAATGGAGAATTCACTAGATGGACCTTACAGCAGATTGGAGGCAGAAGGCAAGTGAACTAGAAGAGAAATAGAAATTATCTAGTCTGGGGGCACCTGGGTGGCTCGGTCGTTGAGTGTCTGCCTTCAGCTCCGGTCATGATCCCAGGGTCCTGGGATCGAGCCCCGCATCGGGCTCCTGCTCCGTGGGAAGCCTGCTTCTCTCTCTCCCACTCCCCCTGCTTGTGTTCCCTCTCTCGCTGTGTCTCTCTCTGTCAAATAAATAAATAAAATCTTAAAAAAAAAAAAAGAAATTATGTCTGAAGAACAGAAATATATTGTAGAAGAATGAAGAAAACCTCAGAGACTTCTGAGACATTTTCAAGCAAATTAACATACATCTAATTGGAGACTCAGAAATTGAACAGAGAACAGAGCAGAAAAAACCTTTGAAGAAATAATGGCCAAAAACTTCCCAAGTGTGGTGAAAGACATCAACTTTAGATGTGAATGACATTGTTTTGTTTTTTTTAAAAGATTTTATTTATTTGACAGAGACACAGCGAGAGAGGGAACACAAGCAGGGGGAGTGGGAGAGGGAGAAGCAGGCTTCCCGCTGAGCAGGGAGCCCGATGCGGGGCTCGATCCCAGGATCCTGGGATCATGACCTGAGCCGAAGGCAGACGCTTAACGACAGAGCCACCCAGGCGCCCTGTGAATGACATTATTAACCACCTTAATTACATTGACATTTGTAGAACACTATTCCCAACAACTGCAGAATACACAGTCTTTTCAAATACTTATGGAACATCACCAAAACCATTTGCTGGACCATAAAATGAGTCTTAATGAGTTTCAGAAGACTGAAGTCTTATAAAATGTGTTCTCTGACTACAATGGAATTAAATTAGAATGTCATAATAATACGATATTTTTAAATCTTCAAATATTTGGAAATTAGTGAATATATTTTATTTTATTTATTTATTTTTAAAGATTTTATTTATTTATTTGAGAGAGAGAGAATGAGAGAGAGCACATGAGAGGGGGGAGGGTCAGAGGGAGAAGCAGACTCCCCGCCGAGCAGGGAGCCTGATGCGGGACTCGACCCAGGGACTCCAGGATCATGACCTGAGCCGAAGGCAGTCGCTTTAACCAACTGAGCCACCCAGGCACCCAAGTGAATATATTTTAAATAACCAGTGGGTCAAAGAAGAAACCACAAGGGAAAGGGAAGAAACCACAAAGTACTTCAAATCAGTGATAATAAAAATACTATATATCAAAATGTGTCACATAGAGCTACAGCAGAAATTTATATGTAGCTTTAAATGCTTACATTAAAAGAAAGGTTTGAAATCAATAATGTAAACTTCCACCTTAGAAAGCTATTAAAAAGATGAGCAAATTAAAACCAGAGTAAGCAGGAGGAAAGAAACAAGACCAAAATATCAATGAAATAGGAAAAAGATAATGAGTAGAGAAAATTAACAAAGCCAAATGGTTGTTCCCTAAATAGATTAATAAAATTGATAAACTCCCTTGCAAGATAAAAAAAAGAGAAGACATATTACCATAATCAGGAATGAAAGAGGGTATATCACTATAAGTCTTACAGAGATCAAAAGGATAATAAGGTAGGGGTGCCTGGGTGGCTCAGTTGGTTAAGCATCCAACTCTTGATCTCAGCTCAGGTCTTGATCTCGGTTGTGAGTTCAAGCCCCATCTTGGGCTCCACGCTGGGCTTGGAACCTACTTAAAAAATAAATAAAGGATAATAAGGTAATGTGAACAACTATGGGTAGTCCTTATTGTTAGTCACAGAGCAAATGCAAATTAAGCCTCTGCATATGCACTAGAATGGCTAAACTTAGAAAGACCAAGCATATCAAGTGTTGACAATGATGCAGTGCAACTGGAACTCTCAGACATTGCTCGTGGTGACATAAAATGCTACAGTTACTTTGGGAAAAAATTTGCTAGTTTCTTATTAGAAACAAACACTGATTCCTTGGCCTAACAAACCCACTTCTGGGTATTGATCAAAGAGAAATGAAAATGTGTCCACAAAAACACTTGTACAAGAATACTCAGAACAGCTTTATTCATAGTAGCCCAAAATTGGAAACAACCTAAATGTCCATCAACAGGAGACTGAATACACAAGTTGTGGTTTATTCATACAGTAGAATATCACTTAGCAATAAAAAGCAACAAACTGCTGATTGAACCAACACCATGATGGATCATACAGACATTGTACTCAGTGAAGAAAGCTTAACACAAAAGAGTATATATTGTATGATTCCATTTATACATATGATTCCATTTATATGATAGAAAACTAAGGTGAAAATAATCAGAACTCCTCTCATGCTGTCTCTCAATTCTCTCTCTCTCAAATAAATCTTTTTTTTTTTTTTTTTAAGATTTTATTTATTTATTAGATAGAGACACAGCGAGAGAGGGAACACAAGCAGGGGGAGTGGGAGAGGGAGAAGCAG